TTAGTGTCACATTACAATGGTTTTCAAACTAAGGTAGAACCAACGGTAGAACTCATAACATCAATGTTTTGAGAATGATAATAGCAGAAATTTAATATTGATTTTCTTACATAGGAATATAGATTTTCTTATCATAGATTATAATACTCAACTATAAGGATACTTTTAAATGATCCAGAAAAGTATAAGTAAAATATAAAAATTTTTTTGCAATTACTAAATTCATTCACAGTTGAACTTAATAATAATTTTCAATGATAAAACAAGCTCTCCAGTTTTTTTTTTGCAAATATTGCAAATGCTGTTTTCAAAAGTTTCGCATGTACAGGGGTCTCTATTTCTGTGACCAATTAATTTCCTCAGTAATCCAAAATATATTTATTTAACACTATTATAGTCACTAGATTTAACTTTAATACATAAATATAATTAAATAAAAATTTACAGGTATTTATTTAGCATGTTTGGTCACAAAATATGCTTTATCATTTAGCACTTCCTACCAGGAAAAACACAATAAAAAGTTAATATATTTTGAAAACACTGAAACGGGGATGAGGCACAAAGGTCTAACATAATTTTCAATCATTACTCTGTCTGAACTACATCTCAACACGTATAAAACAAACAACTATTGAAATAAGTTTAGCAAAACTACCAGTTAATTCCGAATTAGAAATTATTTTCTATTTTTTTAAATTTGTCATCTGACACTTTTTTAATTTTGAAGAGATTTTACAAAATAATAACTACATAATACTACTAGCTACTTAATTATATTTATTTTCAATTTACAGTGTTTAATCGTTTATATTTAATTCACGCTAATTAAGTTATCTTTTTATATTTTTGAGAGCCGATCTTTGAATGTTTACACTATTTATTGTCAAAATGTAGAGAATAAGTATATTTTACTATTTTTAACTTCCCGTAGGGTAAGTTATAGTAATCGCAAAAAATCGAAAATGAAAATTGTTATATATCTTTACGTTACAAAGGTTTCTGAATATTTTGGTATACCTTAGAAAAAATTTATGTGTGTGTATGTGTGTGTACGTGTGTATGTATGTGTATATGTGTGTGTGTGCGGATACAAATTTTCGTCGACGATTTCGGGAACACCGAACACTGAATAATTAAAAAAAAACATTCGATTCGTATTAATAAGAAGATGTGCTAATATTAGTTTTTAGCGAAGGCAGGTTTGGCCATTCCGAAGATAAGGGGAGAAAAGTGCCAGTTTTCAATAGATTAATTAGATAATAGCGTCCGATTATAATAACTCAAAACATTATACTTGTATTGACAAGATGAAGAGCTGTTCACATTTTTGGGAAGGCAGGTCCAGCGGTTATAGATTCTCAATAAAAATAAGTTAAAAAATGTTATTTAGGGATTAAAAATGTTTATTGGACTTATGTACATCAAATTATCAGATATTTTATAGAGATTTTATCAATATGTACATATTTTATGTAATTTTTTTTGGGTTCCGTACCAAGATTTTTAATTACCTAGTTTGCCTTAAGGCACGATGCCATGCACCACTCTAGTTTTTTTTTAAGAATGCTTTATATACATATTTTTCAATGCAAATTTTCAAATGGGATTCAACGCTATTACAACCTGTTCACTGCCAATATATAAACTTTTCATACAACTGTTCGAATATTATTAACTTCCCGTAGGGTAAGTTATTGTAATGGGCCGAAAATCGGAATTGAAAATTTTACATTTCTCGACGTTTTGAAGGTTTCTGAACGTTTTGGCATACCTCAGAAAAAATGGATGTGTGTGTGTGTGTGTGTGTGTGTATGTATGTATGGATACAAATTTTCGTCCACGTTTTCGGGCGTACGGATCAACCGATTTGAATGGTTCAAAAAACATTCGATTCCTATTGATAGGGAAAAGAGCTGATTAGTTTTTGGCAAAGGCAGGTTCAGCCGTTTCGGAGATACGGAGCAAAGAGTGCAGAAAATAGAAATCGAATTTTTGAGAGAATGGAGTATCCGATTTGAATGATCTAAAAAACATTCAATTAGTAATGATTGGGAGAAGTGTTTATTAGTTTTTGGCAAAGGCAGGCCCAGCCATTTTGAAGATACGGAGCTAAATATGTAAAAAATGGCAATTTTTGAGAGAACTAAGCGTCCGATTTAAATGATTCAAAGAACTTTCTGCTTGTCTTAACAAAATAATTGATTTTGGAAAAAAAAAATTTGTTCCATTTTTTTTTTTTTTAGTTTTTTGTATATCGAAATATTTCAGATTTTATTTTTAATTCTGACTATAGTTCTAATATACTTTGCAAATAATTTCAACTCTGCAATTCAGTTTATATAATTCTTATAAATATTAGACAATGTTACAATATTTATAATAATCTATTTGAAAACATTCAGTATTCCACGAACATTTCGTTACGGTACGGGAAATTCCAGCAATTTGCCCTAAGGCACGATGCCATAATTGCCTCAAGACAGAATTCCACTTACAGCTAGTTTGTTTTTAAGATAGGCTTTTTGTATGTACCTGTGCGAAAAGTTGTAGAACCGCTGTTGTACATTGTATACGACTTATTCCCTAGAGATTCAGTATCTAAAACATTTTGAATAATGCGACGATATTTCTCGATTACAGCGTCGTGTAATTAATCTTCGGTCGTACGGGAATTCGGTGATACGCGACGAACAACGAAATTGTTCTGACTAATTTAGTTAATTCTGCAAATTATCCGCATACACAAAGCCTGTGTTTATTACATCAATCTGTCATATTACATAAACAACCCTGGTTTAATACGCAATTGACACAATTACGGACGGAGAGTCTATGCATATAAAACTCGCGGCCGAAAATCCAATTCGAATACGTTTTAACATTCCGCAAACGGATTAAATGGTTTGTTTATTCATCGACTTATTTGGATAACGTGTTTGCGTAATTACTGGAAGCCAAAAATAGTGGTTGAAAAATAAATTCGAATTTGGAATCATTTAGGGACGCATTGATTACCAACAAAAGGTTCCGAGTCAAAATAATGCATTCGCTGCAATCTAATATAATGCTGTAGGCATGGGTATATATGTATGAATAATCTATTTAACCAATAAATATTAGATTTGTATATATGATCTGCCTGTCTAACAGTCTACTTGTTCATCTATCAAAGTGTCCTATTTGAGAGACTACATGTCTAAGTGACTTCATGACTAAGTAAATCCTTTTGCACTTGTCTACCCGTTTGTATGTTTTCTTGTCACTACTACGTTCCCCTACCTATTCAATTGTTAATCCTAGGTTTCTATCTTATCTACCTGTGTACCTTTCTACCTCTACACCCGTAAACCTGTCCTCGAATGTTTTTTTAATCAAAATCGCCGACGAATAATTGTATTAAAATTGTCTAATAGACAGATTGAGGAGTTATACACATGTAAATTGATTAAAATCGAAACCTACCAGAATTCTAGTATTAATATCTGCCGTCGCCATTGTAAAAAGTAGTGTATATTTGGCCAGATTTTCACAAAAAATACAAATCAGTCTTATTGTGAAAAAATTTGCGTGCACACTTTCATCCAATATTAACTATTTCAATAGCAGCTGGTATATCTAAATTCCAATATTTGTATGGATTTTTCATATAAGAAAATAAAATAACATGTATGCTATACTATCTATATATTATACTGAATGCCTTTATGTACTTCACATAAATAATAGGCAAAATCGTATAACATGACAGAAAACTAGTTCTTGTATTTATTATTATAGCGGATTCACTCAGAAATAGTTTTCGCAAACGTTATTTTATTATCCGTAGTTCGTAATTTGAGTCGATCTTATTTGAACAAAATGCTATTCTATCTATTTTTATGTCTCACTTAAGATTTATATGAATGCAATTCTAAAGTACAGAGAACACTAGGGGAAAAAACTTCTTTGCTGACCTAAATTTTTAAACTTAAATAATGGCTAAAGAAATATTGACTTCCATATTTTATCTCAATGATTTTATAAAATATGTTTTTGTATTGACATACTTTGACAAAAGCAAAACAAATTAATATAAATTATTAATTTACATAAAAATGGGTTTTAAATTACATGTTTAGTACTTTTTGCGTTGATATATTAATATTTCAAATGATTTATATTACAATTTTGCCGGCTATTTATATTAAGATTTAAGTTACATTTTTTTAAAGATATTGTACTGAAATGAAAATATGAATTATAACATTGAATTATATTATAATGTGTAATTGCTAAATTGTTTTAATATCAGATTTTATTTATTTATAATAAAATATTAACATTTCTAACAATATAATTGTTGCAAATTTTGCATTACTTAACGAATTTGACGCAAGTTTATAATTTACATTATTATTTGTTTAAGTTTCAAAATTGTTTCAATTTTATTCTGAATAATAAAGATCAGTGTTCTAAAATCCTTTATAAACCGCACTTGATGTACAAAATCTCTCCACCGTATTCGTTTTGTACAAGTTTATAGACATCATTTTATCGATTTTAATATAACTAATGTGGATTAATTACAAGCCGTTTATAAATTTATTATCTTCATATTTCTGTTAAGTATCTACTATTTAGGACGTTTTTTATTAAATTTTAAACAAGTTAATTTTAATGCTTTTTTAGAATTAAACTCTTATCATATGACTATAATATTTTAGGGAAACTTATGTCTTTAAACTTTATTCCTGAACGAAGTTTAATCAAAATACTATATGACTAAGCCTCAGGCTCTTAATTCTATAATAATATTATCGGGCCTTTTTAGTCAAACATAAGATGCAAATTGTAGTATTTGCTTCTGGCAAATATATAAAAATTATACCATATATAAAGTAATTCCGTGATCTGTGTAGATGTGTTTTTCCCGCATGATGGTTAACAAAAATATATAGTGAATAGCAGTAACCATTTCAGACATATATATTATTTAATTTCAAATAAGTTTTACTAACCTGTCCAAGGCTATAGCAACTAAGTGCAGAATGGATGCAGTGCAGCAGAGGACGTCGCTTGATGTCCACATATCACAGAGCTCCGGCCCGAGGGTCCAACGCTGCCGCACTTCGTAAACAGCACCTGATGGAAATAATGATAGAATAATATATATATATATATATATATATATATATATATATATATATGTATATATATATATACTGGCACTAAATGTCAACAATATGTAGCACAAAACTTGCAAACACCTATACGTATCTTACATAGGGTTGGTCGAGCCATAAAGGCACAATTTGCTTTCAGTAATTATACTGTTTAAACTAAATAAATGACATCACAACACATTAAACATATCAAACAAACAACTATCAAACAATGTTCAGTAAAATTTTCAGCTAATTTCTTATTATAAAAATGTGCTTTTTTACTATTTTTTAAACTACAAGTTTTATGAGCACATTTTTTACAAAAAATACTGGTTTAGTTTGGTACTTTGTCAGAAGTATTCATCATTACACTACAAAATTGTATCTATAAATAGTAAATACTATCGGTATAAAATACTTGCTTTTGAAATAATGGTATTGGATCCCTTTCCCCGCGAGAACCTTTAAGTCCCGCTCTACAATAATACATTTTTAACAAGTAAAAACATCTTTCATAGTGTAATCATGTTGTCTCATTTTCAGGAATAAATTAAACAATTATAGTTTGTGTCTTATAAAAATTAAAAAATGTTGATTCTATGAAAATTTTGTAAACATAATTAAAAATAAATTTATAAGGCTTGATTAGTAACTCATACTTCCAAGCTTTGTGCAGAAAAATTCTAATTAAAAATATCTCTGTATGCAAAAAGAAAATGAGCATGAAAAGATTTTATTAGAACACACGCAGCAAACAATAAAATAATTTCGAGCGTCGGCATTTTTAGTTTATGCATAATAAATGAATGCAATAATAAACTATTGCATAATAAATTTTACTATAAACACTTCTGAATAATAAAACAATGGCGAAGAATTCAATTATCAATAATACGAGATAAAAGTGATCATTTCAAAGTTACATTTGGAAACGATAATATTTTTTTTTAATTTTATTTTTCGTAACTTTAATTAATTTTAGTAATTAAATCACTTCTCATAGGCCTATAATATTTTAGGATGTTTGGTTTGTCTATCTATCACCATGCAAAGTTTCATCAAAATTCCGGAAGAGTAAACCTGAGTTTCTCCTTGAATGTGATTTTTCAAATCTAGTTCAGTTGTTTTACATTTTAGAGAGTGAGTGCACTAAAAACTCGACTGTCAAGTGTTATATTGAATAACAACCATAATAAAGAAATTTGTACCACAAACAAATCTGCAAATCATATTTCTGAAAAAACATGAACTTCTCTTGCGAGAACATTTAAAACAAGTTAATAAATAGGCAATAGAAAAATGACAAGAATCATTCAACTAAACAATATATGTCTGGAACAAATCTGTTTGACCATTTTCGAATCTATTACATTTCTATCATTTCAAATAAATATAATTTTTCATTATATGAAAATTTCATTTGAATTTGAATCTATCACATTTCTATCATTTCAAATAAATATAATTTTTCATGCTCCATATAATTCGAAGGCAAATATGCGTAGATTCCCATAATTGAACTTCATTCTACTCGAAAATTACTGACCAAATCCTCGGACCATATTTTTCCACGACATAAGAACGATTCACATGAGATTAAATAAATTCTAAGTCAGGTAATACAACATTCATTTTTAATAATATTCTAAATTCAATACATTTGAGATAACTCGATAACTCCGAAGTTCAGTACGGGTATTAGAGGATCAGATCGAATGATAGCGAAAGAATTATTATACTTTGCCACGTACAGACTTTTTCGATTTCAGAAAAATAATTTGCATTTTAAATCTATATTATAATAAACCCACGGCGCAAAGGATTTTCGAGGGAGTTTTTATTGAACCTCATGCAAAAATTTATTTGCCTCGTTGATTGTCTGATCGGAAAGGTATTATATTGCGCCGAAAATATAATGCTGATATTAAAAGATAGGAGAATCCAAATCCATCAGAGAATTCAGGTGGTCTTACGAAACAGAGATTCTGATGCATTGAAATGATTTTAATAATAGTATTGTAGTATATAGAACAATAGATGTTTTTATGTTGGTATCAGAAATATTTTCAATATCGCGGGTAAAAAGGTTTAGCACCGATATCTCAAAAATAAGTGAAGTTGAAATTTTTTTTAACAACAATATTTGAAAGTAGAGGAAAAAAGATGTATAACCAGTCATCACCTATATTCCTAAAACGTCTTTATCGGGAGATAAACTGCAATGTTTGAAAATCCATAACAATAATATGTTCTTTCCTTGTTAAATTTTATTGGTCGTGAGCGCTGTTCTTCAGTTTACGAGACCTTAATTTAGTTTTTAAGCCTACGGTGTTCGAATGTTTTATATGAGATTTTTACTTTTTTATATTAACTCTATAAAAGCTGTAAGTGGGTGGGGCAAAAACAACTATCTAAGCTTTTACCATGGCAAAGATGTCAATAATAAAAAATAATAAGTCAAAAAAATAAATTAAGTTAAAAATGTAATTTTACAAGAGATAAATTGAATAAGTAGATTATTATTTTTGACGAAATATCAGATTAAGGTTATATACAGTGTTATCTTTGTAAAAAATGGACCCATGAAATTTATATTTTGCATTGATTGAATATTGTAAGTATTACTTCGTAAAATATTTTTAAAATTAGAAAAAGACATTGGACTTTTTTGAATCCTAGCTGTCCCATTTTACCTCGCTTATACGGTAAAAAGTACCAGATGACAAGTTTTTCCAAAGCTGCACAGAAACATATTTCTACAATGATGAAAGTTTTACTGAACATAGTCAGATAGCTTTACTGAGTCATAGTCAAATTGGGCCTTCGTGCCCCGCCCTACCATACAATTTTTAATACTAATATATTGTTACTAATTCATAAATGAATACCCTACACTTATAGTAATCGTAAAAAAATCAAAAGTTTGAGGGATTCTGAACATTTTGGCAAACCTTAGAAAAAATTGATGAATGGGTGTGTATGCGTGTATATATAGTATAGATATGTTTATATTTGGATACAATTTTCCGTCCACGATTTTGAGAGCACAGATAATCCGATTTGAATAATTCAAAAAGCAGTCGATTCGTATTGATTAGTTTTTGGCAAAGACAGGTTCGGCGATTCCGAAGATTCGCCAAAAAGTAACAAGAACGGCAATTTTGAGATAATGCAGGGTCCGATTTAAATAATTCAAAAAACAGTCGATTCGTCGATGCGTAGACTTGTTGACTAGTTTTTGGCTAAAACAGGTCCAGCTGTTTAGAAGGTACTGGGTAAAAAGTAATAAAAATGGTTATTTTGTAAAATGGTAAAGAATGGAGCCTCCGAATTGAATGATTCAAAGAAAATATCACTTGTTTTGATATAATAATGAATTAGTTAAATTTTTGTGAAGACAGATCTAGCAGTTTTGGAGATTCAATAAAAAAATAATAATTATATAACTTCAATAAAATAACAATAATTACAAAATTTGTTTACATTTCTATTGGTTCCGTGCCAAAATTTGTAATGTTTAACCATTGTACAGCAACGCGGCTTTAACATTAACATAAAACAATGAAAAAAAGAGTGCGCGTATGGTTCACACGCGATTGAAGTAAGACTGTTTTGCTATAGTACGAGATGGCATTTAAGTTAAAAATAAATACATCATATAACAATTTTGAATAATGTTTCTTAGAAATGTGGTAACACTCGCGATGCACTCATTCTTTAATGTCAAACATTATACATATTTATATAATAATAAATTATAAATTATTTATTAGAATAGTAATACAATAATGTAAATAAAGTCATACTTCAAATACGACATGATCGGTTTGCCATTGTAATTAGCATTTAGAACTTGAACCTTTATTTGAGAAATGAAGTAATTTGTGATTAATAAATTCTATAATGGACAGCTATATTATAACAATCTTGAGTAATTTTATAAACATTTGATTTCATTTCTATTATGAAGTATATCTGTATATTAATGATACATAGCTACAAACTATAGTCAGTAATAAATCTGAATATCAATTCATACTTCATTATTTATAAAAATATGCAACTTTGTAATATTTTACGGTAAGGATCAGTAAAATGAAATGGTAAGCTTTGACATTTGAACGAGAATAGTTGTTTCACTTCTCAAGTAATTTAAATTAACATACGTTCATTGACTGTTTATTTTTTGACTATTTCGTTAGCGATACAGTCTTATTCTTTGAGCAGCTTTAGTATGTGTCTTGCCTTTAAAAATATTTTCTGAAAAATATATAGTAACCACGAATAATACAAATTATTTCAATAAACTTACGTTTCATACACAGATTTTCATTTGTTTTATCATTTCACAGATAGAAATGATATTATCGAGAGCGAATGACAAATCATTGGCGCTCGACTCGAGCGTAACGCTCTTCCGTTGCATTTTCACAGATTCACACCTTAGTCGCGCATAAAGAAGTTTCACTTCACAAATCAAACTTTTCAGAAAATTTTAAAGCGTTTACAAATTTCAAATCACGGTAAAAGAAGTACCAGCAGTTTGCCTTAAGGCACGATACCATGCACCACTAGTTAATTTTAATAACAAAAACTCTAATAAAAATCCTAAATTCCTTTTATACGAATACAAAAAAAAATTTTTTGCTGCAGATAAAAACATATACATCATAAAAAGCAGAAACATCATTCCAGAGACAATTGCCACAAAGATTCGCATTTCACACCGCCAATTTGTTATGTTAGATTACCCCTCGGAGAACTCGCGAAACGAAGACACGTGCACAAGACAACGTACGCGTGTGACATATGTACTCGACGTGGAAATAAGAACAAAAGGTTGCATGACGAATGATCGCAGATTTATCAGCATCCTCTCTGATATCCAACAAACGTACCTTTATTTTAAAGAAATAGTTACAGTGCCGGCGTTCTATTCCGTTCAAGATAAATTAGTTAATTAAAATCGATTCTTCGGCGAACGATGTGGAGATTCATCAAAGTGAAACGTGGAGATTTTGTAGTACGATATGCTGCAATGTAATGCATTTTATCTATTGTAAATTAAAACATTTACGTGATTTATAGGGGAGTTTTAAAATATGTGGATAAAAAGATCCACCACCGATATCTTAAAAACCAGTAAACTTAAGAATATTTTAACAATATTATTTGAAAGTAAAAGAAAAAAGATAAATAAACAGTCATCATCTTGATCCTTAGGTCTTCATTGTCAGGAGATTAAATCCATAACAAAAGTAATTACTCTCGTTGTTAGTTTTTGTGGTCGTGAGCACTGTTGTTAGTTTACGAAATCTTAATATCATTTTTTAAGCTTAATTTATTAAATTGTTTTATAGAAATTGTTAATCTTAAGTTAGATTCAACAGTGTTTTCATATAACCATTATAAAAACTTACACCGGGGTGTGGAAAAAAGGACCAACTGAAGTTATATCAATAAAAAAAGTAAATCAAGAAGTGAACTAAGTTATGAAACGCTATTGAACAAAAATTGAATTAAATAAATAGTTTTCAGAACAAGGTTATTCAGAGTGTTATCTCTGTAAAAATGCACCCACTTATTTTATGCAATTGTTGAATAATGTACAGTTATTTTGTAAAGGCTTTAGGTCTGTTTTCCCAATGGCCGTCTCAATTTACCAAACTTATGGATAAAAGAGGACCAGGTTACAAATTTTTAAAATAACAGTAAAACACACATTATTCCATTGATCAGATAGTTGTTTGTTTGACATTGATGTGGTTGTTTTAGTTTTCAAAGTATAAATGCCCGAAGTCAAATCGGACCTTGGTGCCCCGCTCTACCCTATATATAATTCAGTTGATTTGTCTTAATTTTGAAGATAATATCAAAGTTTTACTTCATTTTGATAGATACCTATAGTTATCTGAGTATTTTAGTATCGTACTAAAAAGGATTCAATTTAGGTCTTGAAAACGCTATTATTTATCACGTTTGTGCTACAAGGTTTTTCGTTCATGTTTATCACACATTTTGTTAAGATTTTCCAATCGATATCATTGAAAATATATTTAAAAAGTATTCTTAATAGTATAAAGCAGATTGATAAATATTAAAGAAAATTGCCACAAAGTGTTTGTCGTCTATAGACGACACTCGTACGTAACAAGTCATCAAGAAGATGTCGCCTATAAGTCGTTAAATATTTAAATTACTTAACTCTGGCTTTGTATATAAATTCCAAGAATCAAAGATAAATCTAACTCTTTAATAAATTATTTTTAAGAATTATATATGTTGTTCATTAATTATTTAATAAACAATTTAATTAAGTTAATATATATATATTGTTCTGTAATAGCATGATCATACGTGCTTTCAATAAAAATATGAATTAATTGTTCAATGTTGATCAAAGTCCAAGATCTTTACATGAACGCGGAAGACGCCATTCCTAGAATTGACACGTACAATGCATAATATATAGAGTCAGAATTATTTGTATTAACCAGTGATGTCTTAGTCAAGACTCTAGCCGAGTGATGATGTATTAAGAGTAGTCTTAGATAATCTAAGTGGAGATTATGTCTGTAAAGTAAAGCAATAAATACAGTGTAAAACATTACAAGTGGATTTTTATTGGAACCAGAAGTTTGTCTCTTCTAGCGAATACCTTATTGAAAGGACCCATTAGTCTGAAGAGAACTCTCATCAAACCAGTCGATTAAACATTATTCCTACTGCTCGACCCAAGGCATCAGGAAAGGTTGGACGGACATTATTTCCATATCGCATGAAGAAGCTACTACAGTAACCAATATCCCGGACTGTGGATCTTACAACAAAAGGACCTCCAACCCATACCCGAACCATACTACCAACACCATCATATCATTTCAATATATATATATATATATATATATATATATATATAAAATTGATACATGATAACAAATTTGATATAAAAGCTAAAAATGTGTTTAGTTCTTGTGTTTTTAGGCCTTGATCTGCAATAGTTTGCCTGTTAATATCGATGACTAATATCGTTCAATAAATTGTTCGACAAACTTTTTTCACAAAACTTTTTTAATGTGTATTTTATTGGTTAATGGACTAGGCGAATATTGAATATCGTGAATATATGGTTTCATTACATGCTAGCTAAAACACATAAGTTTGATATTCAATTATTAATTTCTGAACTAATTTCCAAAGTTTTTCTCTTCATAGAATTACAGTTCAAATCGTGCCCATTGCAGTTCCACACGTATAATTCATACGATTCTTTTCATAGTATTTTAACACGATATGTAATAACTGAATCATGTTTCAGCATGAAAACAGTTAGATTTTATTTGTTATGAACATGGTTTTGTACGAATATATAAAATTGGAATGCTTGCAAACCGAAAAAGCAAAAATTGTTTACCGATATATTCATAACGAGATATACATTCGCCATCGAAAATAGTTGTTATTTGTATTTCATGCACAGCTGTTTTGACTAGAACTGTAATATTTGATACATATAATATAATGTTCGTAGTTAAAATGTAGGTAAAATGAATATGATTATTATTGGTATATTTAGTCTAAAATGTTGTAATTCAGTAGAATATGATTAAATATTCGATATCTTAAGCAAATTTAATAAAATGTGAAGCACGATTTCTTGTACAAAGAATTGCTTTAATTAATGTTTTTCATAGTTTTCGATACATAGTGAATTTTCTAACTGTTCTTTCTAACATTATTGTTAAGAGAAAATGAAAGTTAACTATTCTTGACCTGATAATGTAAAATCGAGTTTACCGCTCGAGTTAAGAAAATTGTGGAATATATCCAGGATTAAGTTTAAATGAAAAGAATTTTTTTTTACTTTACATACCACATATTACGCTCATTTTTAGATGCAGTTACAAAAATCTGAACTCAAAAACATTTTTTAAATAAGTTATTATTTTATAAAAACAATGTCGTGATAATAATCCTTTCAAGCCGATAAAAATTTAAGTATGTAAATGAGTGAGATTTCAAAGTCCCAGGTGATAAATATTCATATTTATTTTATATGTCCATATAATATAGGTGTGAATGTACGATTATTACAAAAATGTCGTCTATTTTCAGAAAGTTAAAAAAGTCTCAAATTAAAACTGAAAATAAAACATTTCAGAATTTTGAATTTAAAGTATGGGGAATTTTAACAGAAATCGCACTTGTTCCATCATTATAAATTTCATATAAGGTAGGACGGGGGTTCACAAAGGTCCATATTGATTTTGAGCAATTATATTGTGAAAAACAAACTCATTATAGCACAACAAATGACACATATCAACAAATAGCTATCTGACCTTCAGTAAAACCCCCTGCTAATTCATCATGTGTTTTTTCTAATTTGTAATTTGGTACTTTTTACCCTATAGGCGGGATTAAATGGGACGGCCAGGGGACAAACAGATTCTCTTCTTTTAATTTTAAAGAAATTTTATGAAATAATTGCTACATTATTCAACCATGCAAAAAATAAATCTCATGACTTATTTTTTACAGAGATAACACAGTAAATAACCTTGATCTGGTACTTTGTCAGAAATATTTACCAACAGAGTTGGAATAACTATTTGTTTGATTTATTTCTTGCAAAATTGCTTCTTTTAAATTATACTGCTTTTTCATTTACATTTTTTTATTCTTTACTCTTTTGCCAGGTAAAGATTCAGTTGGTTCTATTAACCCAACCCACGTGCAAGCTTTTATAAATGTTATATAAAAAAACTGTTGAATCTAAATTAAAATTAACAATACATCTTTCAAAATAATTAAATAACGTATACTTAAAAATTATATTAAGGTCTCGTAAACACTACTCACAATAAAAAAATACTAACAAGGAAAGAAAATGGTTCCGTTATGGATTTTCTAATATTGCTGTTTATCTACATATAGCGACGTCGTAAGAATCATGATGATGGCTGGTTATACATCCTTTTCCCTCTACCTGCAAATATTTTTGTTAAAAAATTCTTAACTTTACTGGTTTTTGAGATATCGGTGGTGGAACTTATTACCCGCGGAACTTAAAGCTCCGCTCTACTCTTTTTCATCATTTGAAATAGAAAAGTGGTCCATATTAAGCATAAAAATAGTCATTGCTGCACAACCACATGAATGTTTGATGTACAAATTAATTATTGCAAATCAGTAATCAATTAATATTTAGCAAGGATTAATAACAATTGTTTTAAACATTTTCAAATAGATAATTATCACTATATCGTTCATAAAATACATGTGACTATCTTAACACGCTCAAAACACTTGAGAAAAGTTACATTAGCAAGAGGTACCGAATTAATCTATCTGAGGATATATTTCTTACGATCAGAATAACGCATTTGAAATATATACATTTTTAAACTGAATTGTAAATTTAAAATTTATATTTAAAGTATAAAGTTTTGTATATTTTTGAAAATGTTGAATTTTTTTTCTGTAAGTTTTGAAATTTGCTTGAACTGTATAAGTAAACTTTAAAAATTAACAATCTTGGTATAAAATCCAACAAAATTGTAACAAAATTAGTACCCATTTTTAAAAACTTTATCAAATATCTGATGGTGACCATTTTTGACCTTCGAATATCTTTTTTCCTTTTTTTGTACTGCTGGACAAAAAATTGTATCCAAACATACACGCGCATACATTTATTTTTTCAAAGGTATGGCAAATTGTTCAGAAACCACTGAAACGTGAAGATATGCAAAAATTTTTATTTTCGATTTTTTTGCGATTACTATAACTTATCCTACGAAAGTTCATAATGTGCTTCGAGACATAGTATTAGATATAGTAAAAGAGATATAGTATAAAAGTATCTATATCTTTTAGTATAAGACCACTTACCTAGCGGCATGACGAGGCACGCGACGAGCAGGTCGGCGACGGCGAGCGACAGGATCAGATAGTTGGCAACGTTCTGCAAGTTGCGCTCGATCAAGATTGCCGCTATCACAAACACGTTCCCTGGAAAACAAGCAGAAAAATAATATGATATACGATTCATGTACTTCACAGAAAAGACGTATACTTCTTACACTTGAAATTGATAAAAACATGAAAAATGTAGAATATGTCAAGGGTTGTGAAATGTCACACGTAACGAGAGAGTTGACGCCAAGGTTATATTATAAGAAAATGTAACGGTTGCTTTTGAAAATCTTGCTAAGTCATAACATAAGTCATAAATTCACAAAAATATTCAGCATTGAGGAGCTACTAGTGTTTTTCTCTAATGTGCCAAATTTGTCATCACGAGTCCTGGGTTCAAATCCGAGTCTTGCCGCAGTGACTTGTAATCCATATCCAATTATTAATAATTGTTTTTTGAATTAATATTCTTAACTACTAGTATTTTTTTAAGATTCTGAAGGAAAAGTTTGTTTGTTTGATGTTTTTGATGATGAAAACATCCGTTTTGCATTTTATGTTTTTTTCAACCTTTCAAATGAGACCAAATTCGGTAACAGTATGTATGTATATGTGAATGTAAGTTGATTTTTTTATTTTTTATCCAGGTTTTCTCGTAAATGGCTAACGATTTTAAAAATTTAATAATTAATTGATTTGTGGTTATTATTATTGCTGAATTGATAAATTTGGAGAGAAATGATATTTATAAAACGCGTTGCTTGGGAAAAAGCGTATTATATGGGATAGGAACAATATGTTTTAAAATCGTGAAATAATAAAATTATTTGGCCATTTGAAAACTTCTACTTTTTTGGCAGTAATTGAATAAATCTCAATAAGAACCTAGGCATGTGATTAGCTTTGCTCAATAATCGGGCAAGGATTTCTTTTTATTTAGCAGAAAAGTGAAAATTTTCCTTCCATGTTTTAACCTACAATCCTAAATCGACTTTAAAAATTCAAAATCTTTATTAGTTTATGATAAAGACGATTTCTTCATAATAATGAACAAAAAAAATTGGATAATTTTGATAATGTTTTTTTATTATGTTAGCGATCATGCTCATACTAAACATACTAAAATTTGACGCCCTACAAATTAGTGTATTGATTTTAAAAATTCAAATTTTTAAAAAAATTACCACTTAAAATTTGCGTCTTTTGTAATGTAATCAAAACTTCAATTTCTCAAAAACGGCTGAACCTTTTACACAAATTTAAAAGCCATTGAATTAAACTTGATAAAAAGGAACCATTTCTTTAGAATTAACAATAAAGTTTTTTTCGGTAACAGTTATTTTATAAATGTTGCTTTCTCAAGTTTATAGAAAATATTCAATAATTATCTAAAAAAGTTCTTTTAATTATTTAAAAAGGTTCCAAGATAATGTTATAAATGAGAAGTCTACTAAGTAGAAAAATGTACCATTAATTCAAATGATTGAATAATGTTATAAACTTCGTACTCAAGTATGTAATTATGTCAGCATTTTCTGATGCTTAATATTTTATAAAATAATTTATTAATTTTTGTATAGAAAACATTTCGAAGTCTATAATTTAATTTAGTGATGAAGCACTATAAAAGTCTTACGAATATTGGTTGAATTATATAAAATAATTGAAATTTGGATTAAAGGGAAGCACATTTAAGACATACAAAAACGTGTTCGTGCACTATAATTAATATAATTGAAGTTATTATAAATGTTTTGAAGATTCATTAATTCGAAATCGCAATGTTTTTAGTGAAAGATAAACTTTATTTTCGAAATAAACAGTTGAAAATTTTATCCAAGGGTTGTTTAAGTCAATTATTAAACGTTTAGGGAATTTTGTGCAACTTGCCTTAAGACAAAATGCGACTTTCAAATAGTTATATATAATATCAAAATTAATTGTTATATTGTTATGTAACTATTCATTTGAGGTATTTCAACCGATTAATATAAAGATATTTTGGGAAATGTATTTTTGGAAAATACCTCCATATATGCCGTTCGATTCCCGTGAATTATCCAGAATTACGGAAGTTATGTTCGCAAGAATCACCGAAGTTGCAACTTTGTACTAAGAGAAGTTTTACAGTGATGTTCTCGACTGAAAACAAAGCAATGCGCTTAAAGTTTCATGTGGAAAGATGTTTCCTTGGTAAGTACTTTGGGAGAGAGTTTCCGAGTAAAAATATAGATAATAAATAAATAATTTAGAATCATTGATTGAAAAATATATTTAACTCGTCTGCTTTTTGATAAAATAATCATAGTATTATTATGATGTATCAAAATTGATAAGTGATTAGTTTTTGCAAAGATCCAAGCATTTTAGAGATAAGGAGCTAAATGCGCAAAAAATGATAGTTCTTGAGAAAACGAAGCTTTTGATTTAAATTATTTAAAAACCTGTTGCCTTTATTGACAAAACGATTAATTTTGTCGAAAGCAAAAACAAACCAAAAAATTATAACAAAACTTTTATTTGGATATCGAAAATAATTTTAATTCTAGCTAAAATTCTGAAGCAAATTTATATACTCAAAATATATAATTTTAGATACTACCATCATTAAGTTCTATTTTTCAGTAAACTTATATCAAAAGTCATCATGCAATTCATGAGCTCTTATATTTTATAAAATACGAATAATGAAAGTTTAAGCTCTTATAATAAATATATTTAAAAACATTTTATATTCTTCGAATATTTTATTACGGTAGTACACGAGGTTCCAGCAATATTATATCATAATAATTCTGATTCTGAATCTGATGCATTAGAGTACAAAAAATAATCAAGCTTATGTCAATTGGACAACATAATTTTACTAAAGCATTACATATATTACAATTTAAAAAAATAAAAAAGAAAATAAACTAAGAAATAATATATCAAGTTTCTTAGTTAATCGAATTTTAATACTAAACTGTCATCTTTAGCTTCTAATTATCTAATTTATTATATCACATTTAAAAAATATTATAAATTAATTATTATTTTAGCTTCTGTGATGTTATAAAGATATAGAATGTTGCATTTAGGAGCGTGAAATATATCTAGTACTAGGAATTCATTAAAAATGATAGAGTCCTGATAATCAAAACTTTGAGAAAGGTTTGATAATATACATACTAAAATAAAGTAAAATTTTAAGAAATGAAGGCACTGATCTATATGTTATAAATTCGTATTTATTCAAAATATATAATACATGAAAGTATTCTAAGCATTGATCAAATATTTTATGTATATACTTTTTACGTGAGAGAACAAAAAATGAATTTCAATAATTATTACCATCGTCAAAATGACAGAAAGAAATTTTAAAAAAAAAACTTATTATCTCTGTTCGAATATCTCCTAATGAATAGTAATGAAAGGCTGTGATCGATGACCCGGAAGACTAATGATTTGAATTCCATACAAATTACGAATGTAAATGAAGGGAGCGCTCATAACTTTGATGTTATTTCTTTATTTAACGAATATCTACATTTTATTTTGAATTTTTAATGAAAAAATGCTTTGACATCGAAGAAAATTAATGCGAAAAAAATATCATTAAGAGTAAATGCCAATTATGATCACAAACTTAACGTTTTTTTCTGATCACTGTTGCGAGGCGGCACTGATTCTGCGAAATATTTGTCACGAATAATATACGATATTTTATGTCGTCCACGAAAATGTAAACGTACGACTTGTTTTTTTGCGAAGCATTTCTGAGAAAACTTTTAAATTTATATCTGCGGGAAAGATGTTTTCCATGTCTTATTTTCCAAAGTTAATTCGATGACATATCTATTTCGGTGCTCAGGGATTCAAATGAGGTAAGTTACTAATACTGCCCCTGATGTAGGTATCCAATTTTAGCATCAATGTGGGATACCAATTCAACCTTATGCCATTTTGAATTTGGAATTGATGGCATATTTAGCTATTCGAAAGGTATTCGCTCCGAAATATTTTAGTCAGGATTACGTAAATGGAAATTTTACCATAGCGAATTCGGGTATAACAGTTCCTAGTCAAATATTATATATGACGATATTGACCCATCACAATGAGTATATGCGCAGGTTCCCTAGGGAGTTATATGGGATGATGATTATTTTTTTTCAACATAAAGTATTTTTTGTATCTATAACAATTGATTTCGTAAGACTCAAACTGAACGTTATGAATATAATATGTTAGTGAGTTAATTCACTAATTATTTATTACAAATGTAGTATTTTTATACCAGTTAAATAACACACAGGTATTATTTCAGGTATATCTCTAGAGTTCTCCAGGACACAGGTGCTGAGTACTAAAAAATCAAGGTAATTAATATGAATTTATATGAGTTAGGTATGTTTATTTATTTTATTATATTTGATGTATTTTGAATATTAATTGATGAATTAAATGTAATAACATTAATTGCAAATTTTGCAATTATGTTAATCAAATTAACATAATTGGATAAAAATTATCACAGAATTATATAATGAAAGTAGAATATTAAAATTTCATAAAATAGAATAGAATATTAAATTAGATACTATATTAGTAGAAATCTACCATATGTTGAAGAATATTATGATGCAGCTTAATTATTTTATATATTTTTTGAATTTTTTTTATTTTTGCCAAGTTAGTGAGTCTTTAAATATTTTATATTAAATTATTAATGTGGTTATAAGAGCAGTCTATGAAAGTGTCGAGGTAAAAAAGTAGCTTTGATCAAAAATTACATATCTACGTATTATTTGATTATAAGTATCATTAAACAAGATGATTATAATAATTTTGAACATTAACACTTAAAACATAATACTAATACTAATAAGATTCATTGCTTTTAACTTTTAATGATTATTGATGATGATTAAATCTACTTTCTATAAACAACCAAGTATGAATTTGAATAAAAAATAATTAATTGAATTTTCAATAAATTTGTTGATTTACTAGTCATAGGAACTAATAAAAAAAACACCCATTATTATAAACTTCGAGAAATAGAAGATGTTTTATTTTTTCGCGATGTTTCAAGTCATTTCGAATTGAAT